TAAAATAAAGATGAGTGTAATGGCAAAACAAATATATAAGAAATTATTTATTTGCCATGAATTAAGTTTATGATATTTGAAGAAATGTGTGATCATGCCCCAGTCAGTGAAAGTGTGTTTCCTACCCCTAGACCCCAGAGGGTTAAGGATCACCAAAGTGTATTTGTTGGTTTAATTCACTTATGTTTTTATTTTGAAATGAGGAGGAAGTGATGTAATTTGCCATAGCTTTTCATTCTCTCCCCTCATGATGTAAAGAAATGCATTCAGTCAGTAAAAAAAACATTCTTCAGATGAACTAACTCGCATGGTCATTATAAGTAGTTTCCACTATCACAACATTTTGGTGCCAAAACCTGGGAATAGGGATCGAGTTGTGGGAAGTTTGAGTCTTGGACTTAAACTTACTTTGAAGTTGGAGACTACCGAATTTGCAGAAATGGCCGAAGCATTGGAGCGAATTAGGCGAAAGCATGGTGTGATTTGCGTGGCGATAACATGACTACTGACGCGAATTGAGGAGGAGGTTAGTAAAGACCAGCCAGACTGTGATAAGCTACGGGAGGCACTGTCGGTGCGGTCGGTGAAAGAAGAGAGTTTGATTGATTTAGACAAAGGCATTAAGGATGAAACTTTTACGCAGGAATTAGAGGTGGAGATTGAAGGCGCGCTGGAGTATCGAGAATGCATTATTGTCTGGAAGACTCGTGCAAGCAGACATATTCAGAAAGGTCGGGAAGCCGAAAGTGTGCGGGTGAGCAGTGCAAGCGCGATTTCAAACATGTCGCTGAATAAGCAGACTGTTAAGCTGCCCAACTTAGAGATAGCAAAATTAGATGGAGAAATCAGTCAGTGGCAGGAATTCTGGAGTCAATATGACACAGCCATTCATAGTAATGAAACATTGTGTAAAAGAGAGAAATTTTCCTACCTTAAGTTCTATTTAACTGGTGCTACAGCAAAGGCTGTAAATGGACAACATAACTGATGACAACTATGATTCAGCAGTATTTATTGCATGAACAGTTTGGAAGAATGGTCATTGTTGTCACTGGTCATATGTCAAAATTATTATAACTTGACTCCTGTGAAAAGATCGGCAGATGTTGTAGCACTCAGGAAACTTTATGATGAGTGTGAAATACAAATTCGCATCCTAGAATCTTTAGGCATGTCCAGTGACATGTATGGCTGTCTGCTATGCCCAGTATTGTTACAGCTCATCCCAGATGACCTTGCATTAGCTTACACCCGTAAGTCAGACAATGATGGTGAATGGAACATCCATCCATTGTCCAACCCGCTTATCCTACTGGGTCGCGGGGGGTCCGGAGCCTATCCCGGAAGCAACGGGCACGAGGCAGGGAACAACCCTGGATGGGGGGCCAGCCCATCGCAGGGCACACTCACACACCAGCCACCCACACATGCACACCTAAGGGCAATTTAGCAACGCCAATTAGCCTCAGCATGTCTTTGGACTGTGGGGGGAAACCGGAGTACCCGGAGGAAACCCCACGACGACACGGGGAGAACATGCAAACTCCACGCACATGTGACCCAGGCGGAGACTCGAACCCAGGTCCCAGAGGTGCGAGGCAACAGCGCTAACCACTGCACCACCATGCCGCCCCTGAATGGAACATGCTTGAACTTATTTGATTCCTGCAAAAGGAAGTTCAAAGCAGGGAGAGAGCACTCCAACTGACAAGGTCGGGCAATACACAAAAGGACAATGCACAATCTAATAAAACGCTCACCAGGACAGCATCCTTCAGTGAACATAAAACCAAAATTTGGAGCACGCCATCAGCAGCTGCATTGCGCACGAGCAGTGATGCTTCTCTGACCTGTGTTTATTGTGACAGTCCTGACCATAAGCCAGAATATTTAGGTCCAAAACACATAGCAAAGTTCTGCAAGGTTAAAGGCATTTCATGTGCCCGGTGTAAACGTAGACATCATCAGTCTGTTTGTCATCAAATCCAGCTATAGCTGGACACTTGCAGCAGTGGTACAGATGCTGTGGTATCTTCTGTGTCCAATATTGTAAAGTTGAAATCCCAGAGAATAGTTTGGGAAAGGAACAGCAGGCAGACACGCTGTCCTTTGTGAGGATAAGGTAACAACTAAACTAAGAGTTGTATTTGATGCATCATCACATGTGGCGGGTTGTCCATCCCTCAATGACTGTCTGCTAACTGGGCCGAATCTAAATCCTAACCTGTTAGATGTGTTAATCAAATTCAGACTGCAACAAATAGCTTTCACAGCAGACATTACTAAGGCCTTTCTTCAGATATCTTTAGCAGATAAGGACAGGGATGCTGTTAGGTTCCTGTGGGTACACGGACATCCAGCCAAGGCTGATGAAGAGCAGCTGCGTATTATGAGGATACGTAGAGTGGTGTTTGGAGTTTCCTCAAGTCCGTTTCTATTAGCTGCAACGATACGAAATCACATTCGCCAGTACGAAGCAGAGCAACCGAAGACTGTGGAGGTGCTGAGAAACACTCTCTATGTCGATAACCTTATAGGAAGCTCCTGTCAGGTAAACGAGGCACAATTCATCACAACAACTGCCAGAGAAATTCTGTCTCATGCCGGCATGAACCTTTGCAAATGGACAACAAATTCACCTTTGTTGAAGGCCCAGTGGTTTGAAAGCAAAATGGAATGCGCATCAGAGGTGGACACGAGCACAGGTGTACTTAAGGTGCTAGGGTTGGTTTGGAAAGCAGAAAGAGATTAATTGGCATTTGACTTAAGGGCTGTGTTGGACACCTTGAGAGACAAGGAAAACACTAAGAGAGGTGTACTGAAGACATCAGCTCGCATCTTTGATCCCATTGGATTTCTCACTCCATACACCATGAGAGTGAAGTGTTTGTTCCAGGAGCTGTGGACGAGAGCAATCAGTTGGGACGAGCAATTGCCTCCAGACTTGACTAAAATATGGGACCAATGGTCCACAGAACTGCCAAGACTCCACCTACTGGCCATCCCGAGGTGGTACCAAATTGAGATACAGCAAAACTCGTAGGTAAACAAATTGCAGACTTTTTATTGTCATTGTACAGTTGCCTGGACAACGAAATTAGCTGGCAAGACCACAAAGATGCAAGAAAGTGTCAGTACAAGATATAAGAATAATAAACACAGTATACACAATGTATAGGTACAAGAAACATTGGGGGGTATATGCAAGGGTGTTATAAATATAATAAATAAGGGGGAAGGGCTTTAGTCATAGATAAGTGACACTATTGGGTAGGTTGGTAATTGCACATTTGCCAAGCGCAAGACTAGGGAATAATCTTCTCAAGCCATTGAACGTGGAAGGAAATTATCTTAGACTTTGGACAGATTCTACAATTGTCCTCAGTGGTGGAATGTAACATTTGTATTTGTACTTCGTTACTGTACTTAAGTACATTTTTACTATCTGTACTTTACTTAAGTAAAAATAATAATGCATACTTTTTATTTTACTCCATTACATTTTGCGGCAATTATCTGTACTTTCTACTGTACTACATTTCTACAATTTATACCGTTAGTTGTTACATTTTATGAACACAATTTCCTGAAAATCTTGCATGAAAAAATAGTTAGCCTATTGCGTTATGGCGTCGTTTGCCATTTCCTACCAATCAGGTGGCTTTATTAGCTCCAATGATGGCAGAGCGCGCGTCAATTAGCAGCACGAGCTGGTAGACTGGCTTGATTTCCGGGATCTGCCATGCTGGGGCGATGGTGACGTGGGAGTCTCTCCAGAGGGGGTCATGAGGGAAGTGAAGGAGATCCCCGAGGTGTCCCATTCGAGCTCCTCCTCCAACTCCATTACAGAGGTAGGAGCGGTGTTCTGACAATTAGGGACCTCCTCGGGGACTGGGACTGGGGCCATGGGAGTAGGGTCTGGAACCACAGGGGGTGGAGTTGGAGGGTCTGGAACCACGGGCGGCGGCACAGGAACCACGGGGGCCGAAGCATCCACTGGCGACGCAGGAACTGTGGGGGGCGCTGCAGGCACAGGAATCATGGGGGGTGCTGCAGGCACAGGAACCACGGGCTTGGGTGTGGGTGTCACCTCAGGGGAAGGGGCAGCAGGGATCTCAGCTACAGTGGCATCTACTGTGGAGGAAGCCTGCTCCTTCTTCCTAAAGCAGAACAGTTGCCTCAGCATCCCCTCTGCTCTCTCCAGTTCTCCCAGCAGGGAAGCTGGAGATATTTTGGTGAACTCCCCCCGAAGCTGGTTTAGGAGCAGGGCAGCCTCAGCAGAGTCCTGCACCCCCGAATCATCTTTCTTCTGGACAGCAAGAGCTCGGGCAGTGGGATCCTCCTGAATATCTGGCTGGTTAAGTCTGGCCACCAGACTGAGATACACAGCCTCGGTTAGGTGCGGTGTCTTTTTTGGGAGTCCGGTAATTCTGTCACAACTCGGAGAGACACAGAGCGAGGAAACATGAACTGGACTCCAAAATCAGGGAACGCGGGGTTTATTGGGAAGATAATCCTAACATAGAACATCGAGGCACACGCAACATTAATGACCGGACTGGGGAAACAAACTGACACATGGACTAAATACATCGCAATAATGACAGCAACAGGAAACAGCTGGTGAACATGGGGGATCCACACGGGGTAGATAAGGGGGCGTGGCACATGGGATGCTTGCATGGTATGTTTTTTGCCTTTCAAATCAAAGGAAAACATACTGATTTAGATGGCTCTATGTCAAGAAATCATTCACCACAAACAATTTTATAAATATGTATTTCTTATGTACAATTTGTATTCATTCCAAAGTTTAAATCAAATTAACATTAAATTTAACTATATTGGGTGTAGTGTTTGAAGTGCCAGAGCACAGAGTGCTCTGAGCCAAAGGTCCCACAGCTGAGCAAGCTCTGTCACAAATTAAGCACTGGTTACAAACATTTTGAATGCAGTTATAGTCAATGATGGTATGAAAAGAAGTGATCCAAAGAGAGTAAATACAGTGTCATTTTTCTTTCTTTGAGAATGTTTGCATAATACATTTTAAGGAGTCTATTTTTCATTGATGCAGTCTATGACAGAATAACTTTCTCCTGTGAGGTGTGCACATAAAAGTTTATGTTAAGCAGGTTGTTTATGTTGTGTTTCTCGCTTTCACAACATACGTCCAGCAGACACCAAAGTAAGGTTAACAATGCCTTTACTTGGAATTATACTGCCTTACATGTCACTTCTCAGTGCAGGGCTATACACTGCTCTCTAACTCTGTGTATTCCTACGCTAGCCAGTCTGTCAGTTAATTATTATGGTGCATACCACAAAAGTAGTTCCTATACTATAACAAAAAATAGTTCCCATATCTAATGTGAACATAACATTTCCTCCCTTACAGCATTGATGTCTATCTCATATAAAAGGAAAACGAAACAATAATATACCCCGCAACTACAGTACTGACAATTACAACTTTGGTAATCAAATAGTGCTGAACACTTAACACACCTAACATTCATTAAACATGGCAAAAACAACGCAATGCATTTCTATAGGTCCAGTCTTTGGGGAGGATGATGAGCTCTTTCAGGATAGCGTCTCTCATGAGGGTCAGAGCCCTGAACAGGAACCTCAGGAATACCCACATTAACAAGTGCAGCATTTCCATGATCAGGAGGCGGCGGCTCTGAGGCTGTGCACACGAGCTCATCAGAGTCCTCAGGGGTATGAAGGTCATCCTCTGCTCTTGTTGGCTGCACGTTGAGCGGTTGCTTCCAGCAATTGATCGACTTGTTGACGCCAGATAACATTTTCCCCAACTCTTACAGTGTATGTTAGAGGGCCTGTCTTGGACCATGCTGCCATTTCTGCTTTGACTGAAGGTAGTCTCTTGCCAGAACTTGTTGTCCAATCACAAAATTTCTAACATGACCAGTCTTTGCTTTGATGGCATGTTTTTGCATGACATCTCTACGCAGGTCAGGCTTTAGCAAATCAAGACGTGACCTCAGTCTTCTTCCCATGAACAACACGGCAGGAGCTTGACCTGTGGTAGCATGGTCAGCATTTCTGTACGCAACTAAGAAATTTGCCATCTTCTCTTGCAGTGACCCTTGAGCATTTAACATTGTTTTCATTGACTGTTTAAATGACTGAATAAATCGTTCAGCCAGCCCATTCGTAGCAGGGTGGTAATGCTTGATGCCATTTCACTGGATGAAGGATTGAAATTCCTCGGATGTGAATTGACTGCCGTTGTCAGTGACAAGTCGTTCAGGCAATCCTGTCCTTGCGAACAGTGTGTGGAGTACTTCCACTGTTTTTGTACTTGTGGCATTTTTCACTATGGATGCCTCTGGCCACTTTGAATACTCATCAATCACCACAAGAAACATACGATCTAGGAAAGGCCCGGCGTAGTCCACGTGGATCCTTTGCCAAGGGGCAGTTGGCCACTCCCAGCTGTGGACAGGGGCGGATGGAAGCTGTTTTTGCGTCTGCTGACATCCAGGACATAATTTGGCCATTTCCTCTATCTGTTGATCAATGTCTGGCCACCATATATAGCTTCTTGCAAGACTTTTCATTTTTACCACACCCAGGTGTCCATCATGAAGTGCTCCCAGGACTCGGGATCGCAGCTTGGGTGGCACTACAACTCTTGTACCCCACATGATGCACCCATGACACATGGATAACTGTTCACGTCGGCTGAAGTATTCAGGCAAGGCCACTGTGTTTTTGGCAGGCTACCCCTTCACAGTTAACTGAAAGACCTTTGTCATAGTTGGATCTCTGGATGTTTCCTGTTTGACCTGTGTGCTTGTGACAGGTAGGTTCTCCATAAGGGTTATATGGAACATCTCAGCTGGGTCTGCAGTGGTATTGACTTCAGGTTCACATGGTAAACGAAAGAGTCCATCAGCATTACCATGCTGTATTGTGCCTTTGTACTCAATCACGTATCTGTGTCCACCTAAAAACAATGCCCATCTTTATAAGCATGCTGCAGTCATAACTGGACTAGATTTCCCAGGGTTAAAAATGGCCACCAGGGGTTGGTGCTCTGTTATTAATGTGAAGCATTTGCCAATTTGTGCATAGTTCTTTTCAGCAGCACATAAAGATCTGGATGCAAAGGCAGTAGGGCGTTCAGAGCCGTCTGGCATTTTGTGTGAAAGGACAGCACCAATGCCATATGGCGAGGCATCACAAGCCAAGCGAAGAGGTAAATTTGGGTTATAGTGAGTCAAGACTTTTTCAGACGTGATAAGTTCTTTCGCAGTCTGAAATGCCAGGTCACAACTTTTTGTCAATTTCCAGGTCACTTTTGCTTGTAGGAGGCTGTTCAATGGATGAAGCACAGTTGGCAGGAATTTGTGATAGTAATTGACCAGTCCCAAAAATGAGCGAAGCTGGGAAACATTGGTGGGTTTTGGAGCCTTCAGGACGGCATCAATTTTGTTTTGTGATTTGTGGAGACCCTCTCTGTCTATTCTGTGCCCACAGTACTCAATGGAGTCTTTAAAGAACTCACATTTGTCCTTATTGGCTCTAAGTCCACACTCAGCTAGCCTCATTAGGACAGCCCCTAGATTAGCCAAATGGGAGCTGTCGTCATGACCTGTCACAATAATGTCATCTAAGTAGCACTGCATGCCTGGAATGCCCTGTAGCACTTGATCGATAGCACGCTGCCACACCGCAGGCGCGGATGCAATACCAAACACTAGCCGATTGCACTGAAAGAGGCCTTTGTGGGTATTAATTGTTAGGTACTTCTTCGATTCAGCATCCATTTCCATTTGCAAATAGGCTTGGGCCAAATCAATCTTTGAAAAATGTTGCCCTCCAGCTAATGAAGCAAAAATGTCTTCTATACGTGGCAACGGGTATTGATCTGCATGGAGAACTGGGTTGATTGTTACCTTGAAGTCGCCGCATAGCCGTATCGCACCATTTTTCTTCACAACTGGTACGATTGGTGTCGCCCAGTCTGACCATTCAACTTTGGACAAAATACCCTGGTCCTCTAGCCGTTTTAGTTCTGTCTCTACTCTTGGACGCAATGCATAGGGGACAGGACGAGCTTTCAAAAACTTGGCTGAGTCACGCTCATCCACTGTGAGGTGTGCTTTCATGTGTGGACACATGAAAGCACACCTCACAGTGGATGAGCGTGCCTCAGCCAAGTTTCTATGCCCTCTTGAAAGACTGATGCTGCCCGTTGAAGTAACATTTTAAGCTTTTCCTGTGTTAATTTACTGCTTTCATTCTCACTGAGCTGCATTGTCTTAATAGACTGCCAATTGAGCTTAATCATTTGCAGCCAGTCACGTCCAAATAATGGTACACTTCCGCGTTGCAGCACATACAAATCCAAAGTTTTCATTTTGTTTTCATATTTCACTTTAACTTCAATTTTTCCCACCGGGGCCACCTTTTCTCCTGTATATGTTTTCAGCAACAGTGGCTTACGTTTCAGCTTAATATTTGCGAACTTCTCTTTGTAATCTTTCAGCGATATAAGAGAAAGTGCTGATCCAGTGTCCAGTTCCATTTTTACTTTCTTTCCTTCAATCTCTGAGGTCACCCATATCATCCTCTTATCACTGCCTGACACTGAATGGAGTGCTATATGCCCCAACCCTGTGTCAGTATCATCTGAGATTGATCCACTTGTATCTGTGTCATTCATTTCATTCACCCTTTTATCTCTTTTCCGGAATCTTTGTTTTTCCTCATTTTGCTTCATTTTACACATTCTCTGTATGTGGCCCTTTCTATTACAATGGCTACAGTTCTTGTCACGAAACCAGCAGTCTGCTTGGTCATGAGAACTTTTCCCACATCGGAAGCATACAGCTGCTTTTGCTGGCTTGATTGACAATTTGTTAACATTATGAGTTTCATTTGTCATTTTCTTTTGTAATTCCGATGCATCCCTTGAGGCAGTTTCCATTGCCACTGCAATTTCTAATGCTTAGAACATAAGAACATAAGAAATTTACAAACGAGAGGAGGCCATTCAGCCCATCAAGCTCGTTTGGGGAGAACTTAGCTAATAGCTCAGAGTTGTTAAAATCTTATCTAGCTCTGATTTAAAGGAACCCATGGTTTTAGCTTCCACTACAATAGCAGGAAGACTATTCCATACTCTGACTACACGCTGTGTAAAGAAGTG